TCCCACCCACTCCCTGTGGGTAACCAATGTTATTAATTTCTTGTTCATCCCTCCTGTACTTCTCTTTGCACAAACAAGCAGATACAATCATACTTTCTTGTATCCTCCTCTCTCTCACATGAAAGGCGACACACTCTGTTCTTCATTGCAGTATTTTTTTTAAGTTTAAAGTTTGATAGAAGTCATCGATGTAGCTATCAAGGCACAGAGACAGTCAAGACAGAATTTCTTTGTTAATTTACAAAATTTCGTGGTTATTGGTCGTTCAGATGTTGTGTCTTTTTAAAGTTGATTTTTGGTAAACTATTTTTACTGGAAAGGTTAGGATTTTGAATAGAAAATGCAAATCTTTCTTCGGTTCAGATATAATTTCTTCTACCACATATTTTGTTTTTTCCCTTTCTCTCTCTCCTTGTGGAATTCCTATTATATATATATGTTAGATCTCTTCACTGTAAATGTCATGGCTCATCTTTTCTCTCATAGTCTTAATCCTTCATCCTTTCTCCTCTGAATCCTAGGATACATTCTCAAGCTTTTTTTTTTTTTTTTTTACTTTTGTGAGGAAGATTGGCCCTGAGCTAACATCTGTGCCAATCTTGCTCTATTTTGTATGTGGGTCACTACCACAGCATGGCTTGCTGAGTGGTGTAGGTCTGTGCCTTGGATCCGAACCCATGAACCCGGGCTGCTAAAGTGGAGTGTGCCAAACTTAACCACTACGCCACTGGGCCAACCCCCATTCTCAAGCTTTCAATTCACATATTCAGCTGTCTCCATTTCCCACGCTGCTGTCCACTGTCTCTACCGAGCTTCAAATTTAGCAATCCAAAAATGTTTCCTGATCTCAGCTTGAAATTATTTTAATGATTCAGTCTACTACATTTATAAATGGAATATCCTTCAAATATGATTGAAAACATGTATGAGAAATATTTTTAAAAAATTCTTCTATTTGTGGAAACTCAGTTTCAAAAGATACTAATTTTCTCTGACCACGTACCTTTCTTTTAAACTTCTGAATCTTTTTGTGTTTTCATCTCTTTGATTTTTCTCTGTTTGCTCATCTTTGCCAGAGGGAGTCTATATTTATCCAATAACAGCAATTGAGGTGGTTTTGCTGATCATGATGAACACACAGTAAGTAATGAGCCAGGTAAATCAGTGGAGAGAGGGGTTCCAAGCAGAGGGATCAGAGTGAGGAAGGGCATGGAGGTACAAAAGCCCAACACCAACTTACTTTTCCCACAAGTTTTATGTACTGAGGTAGAATTCACAGAGAGCAGACTATGCAACTTTTAAGTGAATATCTCAGTAACTTTTGCACATGTACACACCAGGTGACTGCCACCAAGATTAAGATACAAAACATACCTATCACCCCAGAAAGTTCACTCATGTCCCCTTTCCAGTTAAATTGCTCCCCTCCCCCAAGATAACCATCATTCTGATGCTTATCACTACAGATTAGTTTTTTCCCTTTTTTTTTGATTTTACTTATTGATTAATTTAGTTTTCGGGGACTGGGATAGGTAAAAAACTATCATGGTTCTGAAAGTCAGAACCATACAAAAAGGCATACTGGCTCTTGAACTGCATACAAATGGAATCACGGAGCAGCTCTTCCGAGTCTGGCTTCTTTTGCTTAACATAATGTTTGTGAAATTCATCCACATTGATACATGGATAAGTAATCTCTTCCTTTTGATTGCTGGATAGCATTCCATTATATGAATATATCACAATTTTTTTTTTTACATCCATTCTACTATTAATAAATATTTGGGTTGTTGCCAGTTTGGGGCTATTATGAATAAAGTTGATATAATCATTCACATATATATGTTTCTGTGTGGACATATAAATTCATTCACCTTGGATACATATCTCAGAGTGGAATTGCTAGGTCAGAGGGAGATGTATATTTAATTTTATTAGACGCTACCAATCAGTTTTCCAAAGCAGTTGTGCCATTTTACACTGCCGCAAGCAATATATGAGTTCCACATCCTTGCCAACATTTGGTGTTGTCAGTCTTAATTTCAGCTATTCTAATTGCTGTAAAATGAGAACTCTTTTCAGGAGCTTATTGGCTGTTGGTATGTCTTCTTTTGTGAAGTGTCTGTTCAAGTCTTTTGCCCATTTGAAAATAAGATTTTGTCTTTTTATTTTTGGGTTGTAGGAGTTCTTTATATATTCTGGATATAAGTTATTTGTATAGCAAGGTTTCTAGCATTGAAACTGGGTGGATAGTAAAGATATTAAGTGAGTTAGGGAAGGCAAGAGAAAGAGTTTGGGGAAAGATGAGGAATTCATTTCAGGACACAGAGTGATTAAGGTGCCTTTGGGTATCCAGGTAGAGATGTGCAGTAAGCACTTAGAATTTTAGATCTGGAGCTCATGAGAGAAGTCTGGGCTACAGATTTGGAAGGGATCAGTATGATGGGAATGGATGAGATTGCCCAGGGAGAAGACAGGTAGCCTCAAATAAAACCTTATGGGGGCAGGCCCATGGCATAGTGGTTAAGGTTCTATGCTCCGCTTTGGTGGCTTGGGTTCATGGGTTCAGCTCCTGGGTGTGGACCTACACCACTTGTTGGCCATGCTGGGGTGGTGACCCACATACAAAATAGAGGAAGTTTGGCACAGCTGTTAGCTCAGGGCTAATCTTCCTCAAAAAAAAAAAAAAAAAAAGAGGAAGATTGGCAACAGATGTTAGCTCAGGGGGCGTCTTCCTCACTAAAAAACAAAACAAAGCAAAACAAAACTTTATGCATTCCAATGTTTCAGAAATGATGAAGAAACGAAGCCAGAAAGAGAAAACACAATTAGTGGTCAGAGTTGGAGGAAGGGAAGTCAAAGGAGTAATTCTCAAGAAGGGGTAGCATCAAATGTGGAAATGAGGACACTGGATTCAGCATTTGGGGCTTCCTTGGTGATTTTTCTCAGAGTATTGAGGAATAAATGTAAGGTGAGGAAGAGGAGAAGGGGTAGACTCCTCTTCGAAAACAGAGAAAGGAAAGAGAGAGATTACAAACAGACATATATTTTCAAATGAACCAACAACAGAGCTGTACAAAGTGGTACATAATCAGACACCACATGAATGACAGAGGCACCTCTGAGTCTTACTAGCTGCTTTGGGGAGGTGGGAGTAGAAAAGGGTGGAAGAAATGTGCTGGGTGGCTGTAGTTCTAATTCTGGTCAATAGGTGTCAGGTGCTGGTCAGATCTCCTGGTTGGTGGTCTGCCCTCTTGGGATAGGGAGACAGGTTGAGCCAAGTGAGGGAGGAATAACATGCATGCTCAACATCTGGGTCACACCTGCTGGTGGAGAAGAGAATGCCTGCTTCTGAGGGGATGCGGGATGGGACCAGGTGGGCTTCACAGGATGCTCAGCTCCCTGGTGGTAAGCTCTAACAGGCAACTGTTTCAGTTTTCCTCTATCTTCAGGTTTAGGAATACTAAGGACCTGGAAGAAGTCAAGGATGCCATAACTTCTCCAGCGGTGTTTTTTTGTTTTTTGTTTTTTTTTTCACCTTTCAAAGTGGTCTCATAATCCAACATGTCAATTTGGCCCTTGGCCCTTCTGTCCTTCTTGCTACTCAATGCCTGATTCCAGAGCAGTTCTCTCCCTTCCTCCCCATCCTGGCCACCTCTGGGCTGTCTCCATCTTCGCCCTTCTCCTTTTCGTGGTAGAAAAAGTAGAGATTGGGGAGACTAGAGTCCTTGCCCAGCCTTATCAAATTGTATGAACTTAGGGGTGTCCTCTCGCAGTCCTTCGTGGCTCTGGTTCCTTATCTGTAAAATGGTGGCAGGTAGGGGATTCAGGTGGTGGATGACGAGTAGGAAAAGTACTAGATGGTTTCTGAGTTTCCATCTCTACAGGCTGGAATCGGCCCTCTGTGTTCACCCGGGTGCTTTCTGTTTCTATGCCTTTGGGGAAGTTGCTTTTTCTTGGTATTTAGGGAGTCAGGAAAAGAAAAGTCATCGGTGTTCACATCTCTCAAAGCCTCAGGTAGGGCTGTGGTTTTTTGATCAACAGTAACGTATGACCTTGTGGTCAATTGTGAACGCCTCTACCAGAAATGGTGACACAGAGTCCCATTCAATAGTGGAAGTGGAAATTTCAGCCTGGCCCTTTGTTAACTCTGAAACAAAGTGCTATTCTTTCATGGCAAGGGCTGCCTGCACAGGAGTCAACTTTCTTATCCCCGTTTTGTAAATGAGGAAACTGAGGCACAGGGAAATGCAGTGACTTCCAGGATTCCGCGACGAGTGCTTCCAACTCTTGGTATACAACATCTGCCACGTCGTCTGTGAGGAGAAAGCAGGAGGCAAGCAGAGGGCCTTGGCTCCGGAGACGACCCCTCCCCGCTTCAGGGGCTGAGAAATGGCTGAAGTGACAGCCAAGGAAGGTGAGAAAGTCAGACCAGAGGCTGGAGGTGCAGCGCTGAAAGTCTGGATTGGCTGGTATGACGAGGAAGGTCTCTGCAGAAGGGTGGGGGTCAAGGTGCCCGTCTGCACAGCAGGGGTGCAGGCATTTTAAAGGTTAAGAGCACCCAAAGAAAATAGAAGTAGGAGAAGGAAGTGAGGCGCTGGGTCTCAGCGAGAGAAGGAAGCAGCTCGTCGAGCTTCCCCTTTCTCCTCCTTCCCCAAAGCCCCCACCACAAGGCTCTCTCCTGCTCCGCCCACCGCTCCTGCGGGGACAAAGCCGCGCTTCCGCCCCCCTGGACGGCCGCACCTGACTCCTGGGGGGTCGCTGGTGCTCGGTGCCGTGGCCGCCCACCCGCCAGGGCCTGTTCCTTCCGAGGGCAGACGGTCTCAGAGCCGGGGGCTGCTTCTCAGAGCTCTGCGGGCTCACGCGGGACTCAGAGGATGCACCGGCCGGGCTGGCACCTCGCCGACACTGCCCGGCCACCAGGTGGCATGAGAGGCCGGCTGGGCGGCCAGCCCCTCCCGACCCCGCCCTTGACCAGACCCCGCCCCCGCCCCGCCCCCAGCCCGCCCTTGGAGCGGAGCCCGGGCAGATGCTGGCCCTGGTGGTGCGGCCTCAGCCGGGTCGTGGTGGTCGCGACCGTACCCCGAAGTGAAGGGAGTCGCCGCTGGAGAGGGGCTCGGCGCCCGGCGGGGACTGCAGGTGTGTGGCCGGGCCGCCGGGGCGGGAGGGCGCGGAGCGCGCGCGTGGGGACTCCAGGCAGAGCCGGGGCCGCTGGGGACCGTCGCGGAGCAGTGGGTTCTGAGGGCAGCGACCGCAGCGCGTAGGCTGGACAGATCCTGCTGTCTTCCGGCTCCGTGGATCTGGTCCACTGCCCGGGCGTGAGGTCCGCAAACTCGCGTTCCCAATAATCCCGGAGACAGAAGGCGTGTCCCAGGGACTGTCCATCCTTATCTAGGAAGCCATTGCTGGACGCCTCTGTGCAGTCCGAGTGTGGCCGCAAGCCTCCTGCCTCCTTCACAGGCCACGCTGTGTCGTGGGGTCGAGGTCCCTCTTCCTGGGAGCTCTCTGTGAGCGTGGCATCAGGAGTCCTTTGCCGTCGGGATCTGGGAGTCGTGGAAGTGCCTGGCGAAGGCTCCCTCCATCGGGCCTCAGCCCACCCCCTGCTAGCGAGCGTGGGCCCCCAGACGGTGGCTGCTCTTCTAGAGAACTACAAACTTGACTTTGTCAGAGGATCCGTGTTTACACCCCGGGTGTCCCTGCGTGACTGCGTGTGCGTGTGTGCCTGTGTTTGCGCGTGCGCGTGCCGGCTGGCCCATCCCAGGCCTGGGGTAAATAAGCAAGAAGTTCAGGTCAGTAGGAGGAAGGAGATCGTTCAGAGGGAAAAGGAAGGCGAGATGAAAGCAGCAGGATGTGGTATCAAGTGAGTTCACAAGCCTCGAGCAGAGAGGAGGGGTGGGTTTAGGCAAAATGAGGGCTAAAAGTAGGCCAGGTCTGCCTCGACGTTCCCTTCTTGGATTGTCCTTCCCTTCCTCCCTCCCTGTCTCTGTGTCTTCCCATCCACACTTTCTTGGCAAGGCCTTGGTTCCCAGAGTTTGTTAAAACACATATTCTCCAGGCCCTGGCCCTATAGCACAGCTTTCCAGGAGTGGGATCTGGAATCTGTGTTTTTCTAAAATTTGAATAAGCTCTTTAAGTGATGATGCTGGAGCCATTGCTTGGGAACCCGGTGTGACGTGGAAAAGAGACCTGAGTTCCAGCCGGGCCCAGCTGTGTGACCTTGAGCATCTTACTGCTCCTCTCCCAGCCTATTTCCCTACCTGTAAAATGGGCTCTAAAAGCAACCTCATGGACTTGTGGGAAAATTAAATGAGAAAATCGTGATAAGAGCGGCTCCACCTGGGAGCTGCTCCCTGGGCGTTTACCGAACGGGAGAGTGGGTGGGCATCAAGGGCTCACCTGCCTCCTTAGCGTGGCCAGGATGGTGTGAGTCTATGGAAGACAAAGAAGACAGCTCCGAGTGGTCAAGCTGTCTCTTCCTGCTTCAGGACACCCTCCCCTGCTTTTTGAAGCATAGCTCGCCAGGACTGTGGGGCAGAAAGGCTCGGGGTCTTTGTATGTGGGGCCACGTTGAAGTTTCAAGAAATCCCTCCCCCTTATCTCCAGCTTAGGTTGGGGATGACTAATTATCTTCTCTTCCCAAGCTGCAGTGCAGGCTGGCCCCCTCTGCCTCCCCTGCCTGACCTCCCTCCCTCCCGTGCACCCCTTTTCATTTCTTGCAAGAATAATAGGTGGTACTGGGCAAAAAGTGTGTTTGGGGTTGCTGGAGGGTTAATGATGAGGAGGCTCCACAGCTGAGGCTGTGGAGGAGGCTGGCTATTGGCGGCTTCTCCACAGTTCCAGGTAAGTCATTGATGACGGGCCTGCTGGCCAAGAAGTGCAAGAGGAGGAGAGCCGGTAGCCTTTGGGCTTGGGCAACCTAGAGTTGGATGCCCCACTTTGGGTTCAGCTGAGCACTCAAGCTGTGCAAATTTGGCCTTCGTTCGAAGAGGCTCATGCCAAGAGGCTGAGCAGGCGGCCCTGGTGGATCCCTGCGAACCCGAAGACTTGTTTGGCTCAGCTGTGGGTGGGCCGAAAGCCTGGATCAGCTTCTTAAAAGAGGAAGCTTCTGGAGGGGCAAGATAGATCACTAGCAGGTCAAGGGAGAGGTGTTAAGTTTGATTTTTGAGCCTCTGGCATAGATGGGGAGTGGGGGGCCAAGGAAAGACTGCTCTGACTTCCACCCAAGGGGAAGATAAGACACTCTCATAGCAAATGTCTAGTGCATATTAGGATATTCCACCAACTTGAAGGTGTGCGGTTTCACATTTTAACAACTCTGAAATCAAGACGCATCTTACCATTATAATAGACAGCAATCTTGGCACACAAAATAATGTGCATCTTAGAGTTGGTGGCATCTTAGATGCTGTTAAACATGATGTATGTTTTACACATTTGGGTAGATACTTTAGGTGTACACAGGCACACACAGAATTATGCCATTTCCATAAGCAAATTTGCGTACATTAATTTTTCCAGTAGGTCTACCTTCAAAACACCCAAACTTTTCAGTGTATCCAGTTTTAAAGGAAATCTTTGTAAAATGTGTTGCTTGTCCTTATAAATGTAGCACATTGTACATTTGCCTGATTTAGTAATTTCTTGAAAGTATCACATGGTTCTACCTGCCATTCTCTTTCGTACCTTGGGTCTGCTCAGGACACATTTTCTGCCCTGTTTCTTTCATCTTTCTTTGTGCCCTTTTCCCCATTGGCTATAATTTCATGGTGTTGGGCACTGGGTTAAGTACTTCATGCCCTTTAATCTTCACAGCCACATTCCGAGGGAGCCACAACCATTGCCCCCATTTTATGCATAAAGAAACTAAGGGTCAAGCCCACGCTGCTGGAAAGTGCCAGAGCTGGACTGACTGTGGCATCTGCTCTTGACCTGAGTGGCAGCCTGCATGTGCCCTTGGGTGTGAAATGCATGCCCTGCAGGGCGTGACTTTTGGGGTATGAGTTGGGCTGTCCACAGGTCTTTAGTGTTTGCTTCTAGGCTAGCAGCTAGGTTCTGGATAGTTGGGGTTATCAGTTAAATGACTTCTGGATAAGTGAGATTTAGCTGGAGCAAGGTATATCCAGTAGGAGGGTGGGGGCCAATAAATGGGAAGAAGTGGTTGACTTTGGTGGCTCAGAGCAGACATTGGGTCCTTCCTGAGTCTACCAATTGGGACACTAGGCTTTGGACTTTAGAGTTTGGCCTCAGTGCAAGACTCCTGCCTCCAGCCTCCCACTCCCTCCATTCCCAGTCTAGCCTCTGTCCTGCTGCCATGGTGATGGAAGACGACAAATCTGAGCAAGTTGCTTTTCAACTGCAAACCCTTCCAAGCTGCCATGGCCCTCCAGAGAAGGCCTCCTCTCGCGGCTAGCAAGGCCTCTTGTGGCCCAGCCTGGGTCCACCCTACGTGCTCCATCTCCCGAAGCTCTGGCAAACCTCTGTGCCTTTGCACATGCTATTCCTTCTCCCTCACATTACCCTTCACTTTCTCTACTTGCCTGATGGACTGTGAATTCATCCTTGGATGCCCTGCTCAAGCTTCCTCATCTTTGAAGTCTTTCCCGACTCTCCTCCTCACTCCACATCACTGCTGACCCCCTCTGTCTGTCCTTACGATGGCTGCTGTGTCCTCCCACCAGAGCACTGACTGCCCTGGCCCTTAGGGTGTGACCAGTGACTTGGTGGCTTGCTCACCAGAGTTACCGGATGCTCAGCGTGGCTGTCGAGCTGTCACCATGTCACTCCCCAGGATCTCATAGACAAGAAGGTTGTGCGCATGAACAGTAGAAGCTGCCCAAATGCAGGACGGTGTGGGGCGCAGGAAGGTGGGGTCAGGAGGGAGTGGTGTGCTTTTCATTTTCGTGTCCTCCCGAGTCTTCTTGCTGCTGTTGTTGACCTAGGCAAATGAGCCTGTGTGGTTTCCTTGTGGGGGGCAGGGCTGGGGTGCGAGGGCTGAAGGTGGCTTCTAGGTTTTTCTGCCTGCCGTGGTGTCAGGGGGCTTTGTTTTCACCCGAGTCCTCCACTCCTGGTCATGTGACCTAGGGTAAGTCCATGCACCTCTCTGGGTGTCAGTTTCCCCATCAGGGTGGAGGTGTGGCGCTGGCTGCTCTCTCCGGCCCCTTCCTAACCTCCGATGTTGCATGCACTGGCTCAGTACTTCTGCAAGGAGCACCTGCTGTGTGCCAGGCATGTGCTGGTCTCTGAGGATCCTGAGAGAGGCAGATAATGTTCCGGCCCTTGTGGAAATCATAGTTCTGGTAGCCAAGACACTAGACACTCAGACCATTTAATTACAATTGTGAGAATTATGGGGATTTGTGCGATTAAGTAAAGAAAGCCCAGTAGAGTTTGGGAGTTAAGGAAGGGCTGCCGTAAAGAAGTCATATTCTAGTTGAGACTTGAGACAAGAAATAAAAGAAAATGGTGATGCTGATAATCACCACATCTAACATTTAACAGGCGTGTGCTAAGTGCTCTTTGGGTGCATCCTCTCAGGTCTCCCTTTCAAAAACTCTGTGGGGTCTGGGGACCCCTCTCCTGTGAGAATTAGATGAGACAACTGCTGGCAAGCACTTCTCCCAGTGGCTGGCATAGACCCAGGGATCCTGCCCTGCTCCTCATCTCCTCCCTTGTCCCTCCCCCACAGTCCAAGGTCCAGCTTAATGGCATTAAAGCCACAAATACTGTTACGGGGTGCCTCCCTTTTCCTTTTCACTGATTGTCACCAGAGAGCGTGTTTCGCTGTTGCCTCTGCGGGCTCCTGGCGGGAGTCCTCTGTATTTGTGCCTTCACATGGGCCACCAACAGCAAAGGGAGCCCCCATCCACAGAAAACCACCACGTTGTTTGCTAGGCCTTCTTTCTGTGCCTCTCGGGAGCTGCTCCTCTTGCAGGGTTAAGAAACCCTGATTTTCTGGATCATTTAAGAAGTCGCTTGTTCAGCCCCCACATTCTTCTTCTTCATCCAAAGTTGTATTCCCAGAACCACGAAGTCTCTGCAGACGTACCTCTGGGTTTGGGGTCCGAGCCTTTGTCCCTGAATGGCTTGGTGGTTTTGACTCTAGTCAGGCAGTCTTCATACAGCCACTTCCACGTGGCCTG